GTTTACTGTCTTTGGAGGTTAAGGCATCATTCAAAGTTTGTACAAAGTGTCTAAACACATTCGCTGACTTCTGCTTACACGTTTCCTTATATAACTTAAATGATTCACGGTATTTATGTCTGTTCATTTCAGTGTTAGAGTTACGTAGTTCACGAAGTGATCGTCTCGCTGCTGCACGTGCAGCACGGCACTCGTTGTCATACCAGCTGTTGTTATTGTCCCTACTGACAGCAGGCTGGGTAGAAATACCATTACCCGGCCTCTTAAACGGGTACGCACAATGTTGAATCACTTCCTGGAAACATAAAGAAGCGTTATGAGTGTTATTACAGTTTATATGGTGTTTGAAGGTATCCAGAAGAAGCGTTGTACTTTGGTGTTTCCAATTGTCTAAGTATAATCCCTGTTGCTTATGGTTCCATGAATATCTTGAGCGTGGTTGCAGTTCTCCCCGAGCAATGTTTACATCTCCAAGAGGCTTTGACAGTCTCAATGAATAGGCCAAGGGCATATGGGTGCTTTCTACCTCGTTGTAAATAACATCAAAATTATCAAACAACAAAAATGTTTTTTCTAAGCATAACACATAATCTACAACACTACTACCATTATTTGCAAAGCATGTAAAGCGTCCACAGTTCATATCATTACCAACTCTACCATTACATATACGAAGTCCAGATAGTTTGCAAAAGTCAAGGAGGGCGTGTCCTCGTTTATTGATGATTTGATCCTGGGATGTTCGTGGAAGGTAAGTATCTTCTTTATAGTTGATATCTTCATCAATAGGAAGGTAACGAATGTCGTCGTGTTGAATATAATCACAGTGATTTCCATCCCCTGTTCTAGCATTGAAGTCTCCTTGAATGATGATATCACAGTTCGGGTGTTCAGACCTATATCTATCTATATCTTGGGTAAGGAGATCAAACAAGTTCTCATCGGCATGATAGCTAGATCCTTCAGGTGAGTAGTACACGACACCATACAGCAATGGATCATTATTGGGAATGTTCACTTTCAACCACAGCACATTGCGTGATTCAGCGGGTAAGTGTGATATATGCTTGGCAATGGAATGTTTGATTAGCACAAGGATACCTCCTGAATTTCGAATGGCATTTGCGGGCTTTTCTCGCGTGTTACTGTATTGGGTATAGCCATGGAAACTGGGGCTGTTATCGAAACACCAAGTTTCGACAAAGGATATACAGTCGTATTTATTTATGAAAGCTAGAAAATCACTATTGTTTAAATGTTTCTTGAGTCCTTCGACATTCCAGAGTACACAATTCAACTTCAGATTGTCAACGTAATCGGTGCCTTGGCCACCCCGTTATAACGCACCTGTGGATTCAACATCAATATCAGTTTCAGCAAACCCACTACCGCTATTGCGGCTCTCGAACACGGGGTATAGTTTGCGTACTTTCTCCCGCTGTGGGAACGATCTAACGAGCTCAAGTTCAGATTCCGTTTCATTCAGTTTGTACAATTTATTATCAACTATAAGTTTATCATACCTGAGTGCAGAGTAGCGTCCTTTCTCACGGGCTTTATCCATGAACACTTTCAGTTTCCGGCGTATCTCCCGTATCCTTTGCGTGTAATCCTGCGAAACAGACACTTTACTGCTCTTCAGTTTCCCAGATGCTTTTAGCACTGAAACTTTGGATTGGAAGTCTTTGAAAGTGACTAAGATAGGCCTTGGTCCAGACGATTTACTGTATATGCGTTTCGCGTTATCTATCGGAAGTTCCCCCGGTAGGTCCATTGTTTCACATAGCAGAGAGTTCACAATTTCGAGAGTTTCTTCCGCTTTCTCACCTGCAGATTCGTTGACGTGGTAGAAAATAACATTGTTTTTCTTCATAGAGTTTTCCAGGAGTCAATTTTGTTGGTTAGTGTATGCACTGCATTCCTCAGTGACGTGTTCTCCTCAGTGATAGTTATGATTTCACGCTGGATTGACCCCATACTTTCTGTCAGTTTGTCAAACTTTTCGTTCATCTCAAGTCTCATTTCTCTCATTTCCTGGAGCAGTTCGGCACCGTTGAATTTTGGAGGACCAGGGTTTGGGGCAACATCGTTGCTGGTGAGTATCGTTAGCAGCGACAGGAACAATACGAGTTTACATGCAGTCCGCGTGCCAGCCGGCACGCGCAGCACATGGAAAAACATGGCCGTTTTCTGTCTCGCTCTCCGTGACAAGAAAGATACCAGTATCGGGTGCCCGAGAAATGTAAGTGAATAAATCTGAATCAATGTTGGTAATATGTTCACACTAAGGTTACATGTGTGCCGTTGTGAAACACACTTCTTAACTTCAGCGACGTCCCCATGCTGCGTGTCGAGCTATGCATGTACATATCTGCGTGTAGTGGGGCTGCATAATCCACTGATCTGGGTCATACCAATTTGGAATGACATTCCTAGATATGAACATGCATATATACTCTTGTCCTTTAAGTATATGTCACTCTCAAATAATGAATACACTTCGCTTGCTAGATTATATGCCTTTTTTGGTTAACATGCATTTATCCAAATAATGTTGTTATAGCCACGTTATGTTTTGTTATATCCATGTAATGTTTTGTGTGCTATATCCAAATAATGTTTTGTGTTTATAGCCAAATAATGTTTTGTGTGTTATATCCATGTAATGTTTTGTGTGTTATATCCAAACAATATTTTGTGTTCTATCCAAATGTTTTGTATGTTCTATCCAAAAGTTTTGAATGGTATATCTCAAATGTTTTGTTATGTCCAAATGCTTGGTGTGATATATCCAAGTAATGTTTTGTGTTAAATCCAAAAAATGTTTTGTGTTATATCCAAATGGTTTGTGTGTTATATCCAAATAATGTTCTTTTTGTTATTATATCCAAAATGCTGTGTGTGTTATATTCAAATAATGTTGTGTATTATAGCCAAATAATGTTTTGTGTTTATAGCCAAATAATGTTTTGTGTGTTATATCCATGTAATGTTTTGTGTGTTATATCCAGACAATATTTTGTGTTCTATCCAAATGTTTTGTATGGTATATCTAAAATGTTTTGTTATGTCCAAATGCTTGGTGTGATATACTAGTATCCAAGTAATGTTTTGTGTTAAATCCAAAAAATGTTTTGTGTTATATCCAAATGTTCCGTGTGTGTTATATCCAAATAATGTTTTGTGTGTTATATTCAAATAATGTTGTGTATTATAGCCAAATAATGTTTTGTGTGCTATATCCAAATAATGTTTTGTGCTTATAGCCAAATAATGTTTTGTGTTATATTCAAATAATGTTGTGTATTATAGCCAAATAATATTTTGTGTGCTATATCCAAATAATGTTTTGTGCTTATAGCCAAATAATTTTTGTGTGTTATATTCAAATAATGTTGTGTATTATAGCCAAATAATATTTTGTGTGCTATATCCAAATAATGTTTTGTGCTTATAGCCAAATAATGTTTTGTGTGTTATATTCAAATAATGTTGTGTATTATAGCCAAATAATATTTTGTGTGCTATATCCAAATAATGTTTTGTGCTTATAGCCAAATAATGTTTTGTGTGTTATATTCAAATAATGTTGTGTATTATAGCCAAATAATGTTTTGTGTGCTATATCCAAATAATGTTTTGTGCTTATAGCCAAATAATGTTTTGTGTGTTATATTCAAATAATGTTGTGTATTATAGCCAAATAATGTTTTGTGTGCTATATCCAAATAATGTTTTGTGCTTATAGCCAAATAATGTTTTGTGTTTTATAGCCAAATAATGTTTTGTGCTTATAGCCAAATAATGTTGTGTATTATATCCAAATAATGTTTTGTGTGCTATATCCAAATAATGTTTTGTGCTTATAGCCAAATAATGTTGTGTATTATATCCAAATAATGTTTTGTGTGTTATAGCCAAGCAATGTTCACGTTAGTTGAAAGACCACTCACGTTCGCAACAACTATGACTTGGCATTCCACCGGTACCCGTCACAAACAACGGCAAAGACCAGTCGTTTCTTCACCTTAACAAACACGGGAACCTATTCTATTGATTAAACTATATTTTCAGCAAGAGCCGTTGATCATCAATCATCCACCAATGACAAGATCTGTTCAGAATCAACTGTACATTGGTAATTGCTTTCATTTACTTTGATTTGTGAAGAAGCCTTTCCCTTATTCCCACTACGGTGATCTAGACGATACACCTCATGTCGCGTATCAATACCATGAAGGCGTCAGCATCAACAGAGGTCGGCATATGCTAAATGTACATACAAACAGAAAACGTAAACGCTTGACAAGAAACAGATAGTCAGACAACAATGTAATTAATTGCCCATGTGGTAAGAGCTTCGGGGTCGCGCTTCAACCTGGTGAGGCACATTATGACTGGCAGATTTCTGAAACATTACAGAGCAGGCAGATCGCTGTCAATCGTTTAAACACCATGGCGAAATACTGACATACGTAAACATGCTTGATACACAGCAAAGTAACATCAGATACAGACACAAAGTCTTCAAAGGTTTGTCATAAAGCAGTCATCAAGAACTGCCTTCCATAAACGATACGCATGGCATCTTTCGCTTTGTCCTCAAACCCAAACGAAGGCAAGGCTCAGAAATCTAGTTGAGCTCCTATAAACAACTCTCCTTTAAGCGTTTACTTCTCCATGATGACTATTGTATTTGCTGAATTGAAGACATACTCGGAGGAATTGGCTATTCATCTATGTCACCACCCGGATAATTGGCCAACTCCTAGACTCGGCATGAGATTCAGGTGCGAAATTCTCAACGCTCCCCGCTGGTGAATAACTTTCTATAACCGTTTTGCCACCAATTTGTAACAATGTTATACTCATATCTCAGTGTAGATGCCCAGACTTCAAACAATAGGGCTGACTTTCGACGCTTATGAAACTTCTCAGTTGGTTTGCCTTGAAAGGTACAACTGGCAGCTCCTATTATTGCGACACTGGCAGCGACACGGTCACTTGGACAAAGACACATTCTCTTCCAGAATCTGAAGGAACCCAGAAGGCTCCTCCAGATCTACTCGGGACAATATCTCACAGTGGAGACGGGGGAATTGACCCCCTTCACCTTGAAACATCGCTGTATATCCCTCTTCATAAATAAAATGATGGACCATCCATTTGTCAAGATATAAGTAAAACTTGAGACTGCCTCTTGTCGGCCTTGTTGAGGTCTCTTCAAACACTGTGTAGCAACACAGTGGGTTGCCAGCAGGACCGTGACAGCTTCTATTGGTGCCCGACGGTCCCTAGCAAACATTTGATACAGGTTTATTGCCGGAATTTAATCATTTGTGTTTGTTGTCAGTTTTTGGCGCAGCATGTTTGGGGGCTATCGTGTATTTCAGCTGTCACCGCAGGGTAGAGTGTTCGTATGGGGAGCTAGCCTCCGCCAGAGATGCTCTCTCGGTCGGGGACACAGGGACAAGTTCATCAGACGTCAATCCTGGTCTCAGCTTACCTTTCAATGAAAGAGAGCTTTTGGGGCCGTGTATCGGACTCTTGAATAAACATTGTTATAAATAACTCTCTCTCGTTCACGTGTCTGTCGCGTCTTCATCCAACCAGAATGAAGCCTAAGAAGCAATCATGGTGTCAAACGACACACTTGGAGTATTTGTCCAGTGCGACCCAAGGTACGTCCTGCGGTCAGACCCATGTCTAGGTAGCGTGTAGGGTGGGACAGATTACTGAGAACAAGTCTTCAGGGAAGCCTATCTCCTATTTCAGGCTTGATCTTTGATTAATACCTCATTTCCGATGAATTTAAACTGAACAGCCTGCATTCATACCAAGCGCTGGTCCTTCTCCAATCTCGTGTACAAATATAACGCAACATGAGCCGTCTTAATTCCGGGCTTTTCACTTCCTCTCGGATAACACCACCTCTGCCCTGTGTCATTTATACACGAGCCTTGCTCTTTTTACAAACAGAATGTGTTTGCTCGCGAAATATGTTCCATAAATCAGAATGGGAATTTTATTAAAAAACTGGCGTTGCTGTAGCTGATTAATGAATGTGCTTGCAGGTTTGGGCCAACCCGTATCAGATTCTGACTGCAGTTGGAATTCCGATCCAACACAATCGCGTATGATCAAATGCCGAGGTTGACATGCCAGGCAGGACACATTCGTTTCTTGACAAACACTCTCTGAATCCATGGTATAATCCCCAGTCCCCAGGCCCTACAAGATCAGCTGCTTTAGGTATTTAATGACTGAAATAAATTGACCAATGAAATGCTCAACCATGGATATGATTCTGTGTCTCGGGACACGTTTTGACTGCTATAAATCAGAAGACTACATCGTTTCATACCACTTTCCATTAACCGTGCATCTCCTCCCTTGAATAAAGTAAAACCCTCCTCTTCAGCACCAGCGTGCTTTTTGCGTGGGGGCAGGAGAAACTGCTTTATCAGAAATAGTAAATACGATATTGTGTCAAATATATTTCTGTTACTCCTACTTATATCTTTCTGTTACTCCAACAAATAACTTTCCCCCTACTCCTACAAATACGTTTGTGTTACTCGTAAAAGTACCTTTGTGTTACTCGTAAAATACCTTTCTGTTCCTCCTAAAAATACCTTTCTGTTACTCCAACATAACACACTGTCTCGACGTCACATATGACGCTGAAGACATCAAGAGTCGTATTATGCACCAAACCGCCCTTTAACAATACTCAGCTAAACCGAATCCTCTGCATAAAATCAAATAGCTTTCTTTAATGTTAACATAAAATGTCTTCTTCTTCCCCTCTTTAGAGACATGTTGTCACTAGCATAATCTGTATAACCTTTACATATAAGCATCGACAGACAGCACTATAACATACAGGAAAGGCAGCATAAAGTACTTTACAAAACCATGCATTCATTCAATGTGAATACAAAACCATACACAAACCTCAATGCTAATTGGGTAGCTTTTTAAACGTGTTATTACCTAGGTCTCGAAGTGAATAATGGTGATGTCACCCAGTACACAACACACATGAAGGTGCGATGACCTCACCCATCTTGACATCACAAAACAACAGTGCTTGACAGTCTGAAAACAACGTGTGGGTAGAATAATAGAAATATTAGGTAAAGGAAAACAGGGAAGGCAGATAACGGCGTTATACATGTCAACGATGGCACACGCCATTCCACTGAGCGCTTGTTGTGGTGGCTCGGCTTGCCAACATGTCCCTGGCGGCGTGTTCCCGACCCTCCATACACACTCGGAGATGGAAGAAGTAAGGGAGGGGATTTTAATGAGGTCTACTGCCGGAACTGACAACATGTCGGGCGTTTGTAGAATGTGTGAGAACCAGTCAATGGGTTAACCAGTAGCGATAAGATGTTACAAATGTGAGAAGATGCGTGCGATACAAGTGTCATGCGTCAACAAGCATCATTTCTTAGAAACCTTCGGGTACCTCATCTTTAAAGTAACCGTTTTCACATGGTATGGTTATTGTTATGTATAGGGAAAATTGTGTTATGTTTGTGAGGGTTTTTCTCATCTTTGAGTAACATTTAAGAATAGAGAATGCAGCTTTTGACAAAAACGTATTTATGATTAACTTTGTTACTGCACCGGTTGTATTTTCAGGTGTTGATCGTCCATATTACCTCCTCATTTGTGAATGAGTGAGTTTAGTTTTACGCCGCACTCAGCAATATTCCAGCTATATGGCGGCAGTCTGTAAATAATCGAGTCTGGACTAGACAATCCAGTGATCAACAGCATGAACATCGATTTGCGCAATTGGGAAGCAATGACATGTGTCAACCAAGTCAGCGAGCCTGACCACCCGATCCCGTTAGTCGCCTCTTACGACAAGCATGGGTTGCTGGAGATCAATTCTAACCCGGACCTTCATGGGTAGCCTCCTCATTTGTAACGGTATCACAAAGATTTACCGGATGCATACATACTGAACTGCCCTGAGTAACCACTGAGTAGCCATGAGAAGGACGACAGAAGACTAGCTGGACATTGTCCTATAAGTCTATAGGACATTGGTGACAAGGACACCGTTAGGTGGCTCCACACACTTGATGACGCCACTTGTATATACATACAACCAGCAGAAGTGATTACACAAACCTTTTCGTCTCGACCATCTCATCTATTTCATTATAGATATGTACACATGTATTTTCTTTACTGACCTATAATTTATTACCCTGTGACTTGTGAAATATTGTTTATACATAGAGCGAATGCCTTATGAAGCTGAGAAAGGAACATATATAGTTAATATGTTTAAAGATTATCATAATATCACTTTGCAGTCGTTTCATGTGAACTCAAAATAATAAGCTTCTGAAAACATATATTTTCGAAATGTTAGTTTAAGATATCTTGTTTGAAAAACGAATGAAAATAAATAGATTTTTCTGGAACATATGTATTGCATCCAGATGAAAACGAGAGATATTTCACACCAAACACTGATTATCTGCCCTTTGTTTTTATTGCGTTAGAAATACAAACACATGCACCTTTTTCAGTAGCAGCAATAGTTCCGATCCCCATGGAGACAGTAATGCGATGGATCACGTGACCCAACATATCACTCCAATCGCGATAACTCTGCCACAGAAGACTAAAGGGTCAAATTAGAGATGTGTGATGTTTGCAAAACATAAAAGTTATCTTTCCAGGTCGTTCTGAGTGATAATGAAAAAATACCGAAAACCCCCTTGCAGAATATGAATGAACCAACTTCCCTAAGTATGAATGAAACATGAAGCCAAGCAGAATGAACTGTAATTAACATGACGTCACTTCCTGCAGCACGTCTTGCCTTTTTGTAATGAACATGACGTCACTTCCTGCAGGACATGTCTTGCCTTTTTGCAAACACCTTATGTCATCACTACCTTTCAGTGACTCAGTTAAAATTCGTTACTAATTTGCCTTTTCGTTTATGGAATGTTTCAGCAGATAGTCGGAGGATCATTATTCTTCAGCATTGAAGGTTTGAATTCGATTGTTAATCGTCCCAACTACAACTGTCCAGTTTTGCACAAACAACGCCTTTGCCCTTTTGAAGACATTTGTAACAGACTAAACTAAAATGTCACCACACATGAACAGCTTGTGAAGACAGGGATTCACATGCTGTACGTAGGACATGGTTGCAGTAGTGTTCTGCAGTAATTGTGATAACTGCATGGCATCTCAAAGACATATGCATTACGCTGAACTCCACAAAGACCATTAACTGGCACTGTTTGCCAAAACTGAGAGTCCCGGTCAACGTTTTTCTCTTGTCCGTACAGCTAAAACATGGCAATTCAGTTTAAACCCTGATCGTACTATTCAAAAACAATGTTACCACTCCATGAAATGAGTTCCAGTTCAGAGAGTAATCTACAGTTTTACGGCGATTCTTGCATTATTCAAGACCCTCGGTATTGCCAGGACCAATCGCCACTTTGTACTCGTGTTGGGAGTCGTATTCGGCCAGCGATTACAAAGCAGTGTTTCAGAATCCATTTAATAGACCCACATTTCCCAATATTTGCCGACACAGGATGGCGTGGATGAGACGAGTGGCTGGGTGCGTCTCATCATTGTCTTGGACAGATACTGATGTTATCAATCACCGGTCAGTCCCGGTCATCTACAGACGTCCAGGACGTAGCCGGCTGCAGCCTAAACATGGTTCACTCACTCACTGTCCTCAAAACTACGCACGGAAGAAGATAGGTTTATCACCAAGACCTCCATACAAGACAGATACAAGACAGATACAATAAACACAATATAAAACGGCAGAAGAAAATTGCGCCAATTGAATTAAACGCTGGCTGTCTCCCAATATTCAACTTTACAAATGACGTTACCCTGTTTGACGCCGTGCCAGTCCAGATAACGTTCGTGGCTGATTCAACCTGGAGACAGGGATTGCCTTTGATGGTTCCTACACTTCCAATCTATCGCCGAAATACAAGGTGGGCCAAATCCCGCTCCACCCTCCCGGGGATTCTGGCCCTTCGTTATAAGCATAATACTGATGTTTGTGTTGCTTATTATCTGTACTTCAGGATGTGCGTCAATGTTATGTATATGTTGCGGGGGCGCCGCAGAGATACCATCACCGCACGTGCGTTCCGCGTTCTAATGTTGTCCCCTGTGACCCACCACCAGCTTTAGCAATGGCTGGAAGCTTGAGAAAGAACATTTCCGGGTTTAAAGCTCTCCTTTCTGCGTATCATCACGGTGTTCTAACTTGTCATCGTTAAAGTAGCAAGTAGATGAGATACGCACATAAAGTAGACAACGTCTACATCTATACGGCAATATCGCTACAGAAACAAGAGAAAAACGCCTGAAAGTGTTTCCTGATACACTGAAGCAATAATCTTTTGGAGTTATATGTGGCTTGTATGTGTGGCAAAATATGACATAACCAGGTGATAAAAAGTTGGGAAATGTTATTGATCAGCACAAAATGAAATAAAGTAGAACGGAATGAGCTATAAATCTGAAGGAAGAGGCAGAGGAAGCGATGGATGACAACATCGAAATCTTGAAAATCAGTCGGAAAATAAACACCCGTCCAAGACATGGGGCACGATACCAAACCATTCAAAATGTGTTGCTGCTGGTTTATAGCATCATTGATGAGCATTATCTTTGATTGTGAAGGTCCACCAGATGATTGTACTGGCAAACCAAAGATTATAACCCAGGCTTAATTCTTATGACATGAAGAATTTGGCTTCTCAAAATGTACTCAAGCTCGGATTCGAACCTGGAATGTTAGCGTGACGAGCGAGCGTTTACACTACTGGATTACCCTCACACGAGGGGAAACGGCAAGGAAAGCAGCAGGGAAACGGACAGAATAATCTGAGGCATGTTTGTTCTGAATGCTGAACTCCGTACGTCGCACATTCCGGCGAGCAAAGGCTCCAGCAGTGGCTCAGACAGAGGACCAAACTACAGCACTCTATGTTTCTGTGGCACGAACCTCCATTGTCAGTACGACGAGATACTGTAATGGAAAGGTTCCATTGTTTATACTCGTTCAAAACAGAAGGGGAAAGCGCCAACAGAAAAAACCAGACCCGAGAATAAAGTACATTCTCAACTCATAACATCAACACTTCCAATGTACATGGCATGTCATCACTATGGAGATCAGTTGGTATAGGAGAACATACTGCACTTTATCACAGAAGAATGCGCGGAAACAAACATGAGAAGTGTGTAAACGTAACATATGGAACTATCACGTGTCACGGGGGAGTCTTGGAGGAAACGTGTCTTGTCAAGATAAAACACCCGGGAACATGCACGGAACACAGGCACGGCGGATGCATGTTCCTGAACATAGATATCAACATATTTATTGCTGTTGGTGATGACGATGGTTGCACTCTCGGTGCCGATGCAGCATGTACCGCCGAGTGAATGGAGGATGCTGTGACAAGAGGCTATCACCATCTGCATGTTCCACACAAAACCTAATGGAATATTCTCTTGTGATAAGAGGGTTGCATAATGATGTGCATCAACGTAGCGCTGGGGTCAGTAATACATCTGACAAGTCTAACGGCAGCATTCCGGTCATTACCTAAACCTAGACACACTACATTTGAGTGTTGTACACGTGTAATGGGTAAAGAGTGTTGTCCTTTTCACGTTGGTATCAACGGGACTTAACATTTAACATCGCAAGGTAGAATTGAATTTTTGAGAGAAAGCTGTACCCACAGACACAAAGAATGCTGAAATACTTCAGTTACAAACAAGATTCATAACAGAATAACCCATAAAGTGAAGTGTTGCCTCAGACATATCAAGATGTGTGGCACTTATGGGGGATACACTTAAATCGTGAGAAGATAACATCACTGGACCAATTGAATCTGTTACCACCTCCGAGACGGTTATGTTATTATAGGCCACAACACACAGAGCTCAACTGATTTCTTGCAGGAGTCATAGCAAGTCTGTTTTGCCAGTCAATGAACAAACCCTAGCATTTTATGGTAATCTGCTCTTTTCTGCACCACTGGTTACTCACAGATATAGCCCGCGATAAGAGCGCCTAACAGATTTATGTTCTGACGCGGAGCAAACGTACCCTCTCATCCTCCTGCGGCTTCTCGCACCTACAGCAGAGAATTTACCGTAAATCTGGTCATTTCTACATTTATCACTAGAATTGACCATTTAGTGGCATGTGGTGCCAATTCTGTTAATAATGTATATTCTTATCTCGCCTAAAAAGCATGGATGAATCAGTCTTCGTGTACCGCCGACACGACTGACGGTCGATATGTAACTAGTGCTAATGGTAACAGTATATTTGGAGAGCTATCTTCACGAGCGAGCGAGATGTAAAAGTGATACTAGTTTTAAAGGCGGATCGAGATGTTATCGCCCAGCCTCACAAGCCGTTCAATCTGCGGCCTGCGTCAAGGTGCGAAACTCCACGCTTTACTGATTTAGCTCCGTGTACAACTAGATGGCATAGTTGATAATTTCTCTTTATAGTAAACAGACTTGATTCCACAGTTAATTATAAGCCCCGGAGAACAGCCAGGCCGGTGAAGAGATCGCTTGAATCGGATCTCGGTGATACACTTACGTAGCGAAGCATCAAAGGGGCATCTTCCCGGCCGAACCTAAATACGATGACATAAAATTGCAAATGGCGCTCGTCCTTTGTTATGGGGTATTCATCTCCGAATTTCGTATCCTTTACGTTTATGTGACCTTTTATTTCAACATTTGAACCCTTAATCGAATATCAATTGGTACTGTGGATATAATGGCCAGGTATATAGCGGTGGAACACATCCCCCGCAGGGTGCAACAGTGATTAGCACACGCTTAAAGCTAAAAGTTAATCCATGCATTATCCGGGCTGTGACCGAGCATCTTTGCGCCCCGACTAAGTATAGCGATATCATGTCATATGGGTCAGATTTTCGCGGTAGAGTGTTCAGTTGGAAGCGGAATATGACTTGTTGCCAACCATCGTTTCAATTTTAAAAAAAGAGGTATACCTAGGTACACATTTTCCTTGGAATCATGACACGATAACCAACAATTACGCACATAAATAAATAAATATAAAATAAATAAATATAAATGAATAAATAAATAAAAAAACTGACGCATTCCCTTTGGTGTAATATATGAATGTATCACTGAAGATCAGTGATGACACCAGGTGTTCGCGTAAAGGGTAAGCATGTCCTACCCGACTGGTAGCACCCGTCATTAAAAGGTTGCCTAAGAATGGGGGTAAATATATAAATAGATATATTTTCATGAAATTAGATGATAGATTAATATTGAGAAAGGGAAAACATTTGCAACCTTGGTAAAGGTAAGTTGTAGTTTGACGCTCATATTCGTAGCTCTTCCACATCCTGGTCAGTCGCGGAGCTGAGTGGTTAAAGCGTTCGCTCGTCGAACCAACGATCTGGGTTCGGATCATATTGATAATACAACGTGTGACGGTCAGCCTTGGCTTATCTCATCGTTATATCATTGACATAGCTAAATGACGTGGTCCAGTCTTCACGGTTATACATGTACCGCTATCTTTGTCGCCGTGAAAGACAACTATTTGCCTGTTGTTCTCCTCCCCCCAGCACATGCAGTTCGTAACGCCATGTCGATACGTCCTCTGTTGTCAACAGGTTATTTATCCAGGCGATACGACGAGGGCGATAAAGCACGGCTATGTGGCCAACACTCGGCCAGATCCCCCCTCGACAGTATACTGATTTGACAGAACTGAAAGCCATATAACTCTTCCCTATCACAACAAGCTAAGATTGAGTCGGGGTTGTGCCCAGAGTAAACACTACCCCAACGAATGTTCCAGCCAAATCTAAAGCTACCGAGTGAAGTTCAAAGCTGTACCGTGCCTGGTTCCGTGTAAACCTGTAGCCTGTGTGTAGTGGAGGACGGGGTTAAAGCCATTCCCATGTCTGTAGGTACAGACGTATCAAGAGAGCAAGATTTATTAAGATAGTTTTCAAGGGGCGTATTCTGTCTGCTTTAACACCTGAAAGCAATGCTGTCCTACTCCATACTGTTTTCTGTTTATGGGGTCAAGGGTTTTCGTCATAAATCTCTAATCTTGAATTATACGCGTCGTAATAGGCATTGGTCTTGAGTGAAAGACATTTCTGAACAGCTAAAATAAATAAGATATTAGATTTAGTAAAAGTTATACAAATATTCTAAACTTGTGACGTGAGTAGATGTACATTCTACTTTCGGTATTCCCGCATCGCAGTGAAATAACAAAACCAGTCAGAACCTATTCGTAGCAGGCAGTGTTCCTGAGCTTATGTTATATCAGTATTAATTTCCTCATTATCCCGATGAAACTCAAAGACTCCCTGCAGCAACACCCCTTGAGGGTTGGCTATAAAGTGCCAATAGACAGAACCTAGTCTTTATAATGCAAGTAATGGAGGCCCGTACGGGTGTTGGATTCAAAGGTTTATTCTGTAGTAGTCAGAGAAGAATAAATGTTGACGTCCTTCATGTACAGTTGTTCAATGCGACCTACTTGCAAACCAAACACACGCAAACAAACACAATGTGGGCATTACCACAAATAGCGGATTCGCTCGCACTTTTAAAACTTGCGCTAGTCGTGCCCGAAATAAAACGTATAACAGAGATATACGCATATCTTACCAATATCACATTCACATTTATGTTTCATAGAACACGAAATGTCATTAATCACTGAACATTTGCCATAATTCTAAGAGATATCAACAAATAAACAGTTAGTAGAATCACCTTAACTCCTTTGAATGACATTAGACAGCCTGTTTTGCATGATATTCATAGGTAATAGTTGTTTAGAGGGGAAAGAAATGTGGGGACTGATAACGTAGAATTGCACAAGTCTCTAAGGTAAAAAATAATAGTTTGAATCATAATTTCTTAAAAATAATAAATAAGAGACTGGGGTCCTTGGACTGTACTGTCCGCTTATCTAGACTTGCCTCTTTGAAGGATAGAATTACTATACATCCATGGGCTCAGCATTCAGCACTGCTTTAATGCAAGGCTACTGTGACCGGTACATCTTGACTGTCTTGTCCTAGCATCCAACACCCGGTGTCCTCACTGATGTGTATTCCTGTACCTGCCTGATATACTTGTATTTGCTATTTTGCATATTACGTCCAGCACATGGAATTTGTTTCGCCGTGGCGTTTTATGTCTATATATTTCATTTATATACATTGTATTTATTTTGAGTTAATTCTTTTCGAAAATGTTAAGTATGTGAGGAACTAAGTGTCTTCCTTTCAGGTACAAACAGGACATAAATATTAGGTTTACTCTGAGACCATTCAAACTATTTTACCACGTGTGCAATCAATTCTCAGTGTATTCAAAGAATGTGTCTAAAAAACCCTTTTAAACATCTAAGCATTTTCCCAGTCCCAGTAACGACTAAAGCGTTCTTTTCAGCAACGGGAATTAATTGAATTACACGGCAAGTATGGACATTTGTCGCGGGAGTTCGGGTTCCAATCCGCTCACATCGGATATTTCCGTAAGAATTTTCGGCAGTTTCCGACATCTAGGTGCAAATTATCGGGGATTGTCGTGGTTGTGTGAGAAGGTATCGTGATGGCCGAACAGGACGGACAAACAAGGAACGCTCATGTTTCCGCTTTGACTTCCATACTACAAAAATCTTTCCTGAACTTTGCTCATAAGCCTGGTACTACCTAAGCCATCGGTGTTTAGATAGAGCTAAGCTAAAAAACTGTATTTGGATTCTGTCTTGCACGGATCACGCTCGCCTATAACCCTTCTGTACAAACAAAACTATGGGGAACCCACTAAAATGTCTTTAATTGTGAATTTACCCGATGATGTATAAATTTAGAAGTGACAAAAACTGTGTGACGGAGCCACATGTTAATGCAACACAGTACGAGACACAAACTACTGTCGTTATATACGGGGGAAAGATGTTATCTTCGTGTATAATATACTTGCAAACACATATCCTTACAGATAGTTAATCCCAGGTTAAAGAGTACGCTGTCGTTTAGTGGATATGTTTACCGATAAAAACATACCTTTACTTACACCTAACCTTACTTCCAACTGGAACGCTGCAACTTATACAGGTAGGTTTTATATCTTCCATATTGCAAAGTAACATTCTGAGTACTTACGGTTTAAACAAATACCGACAACACGAGGCTTTACGTGAAATAAAGGTTGGGTGTGAAACGAGAAATCAAAAGAGTATTGCAGCGTATTGAGGAAGGAAACCGACTTCCTAAAGTCATTTGAACTCATTATACGACAATTAGAATAGCGAGACATTTGAGCCTACGTGGTGTTCTGAGTCTGCGGCGGGTCTTCCTCGAACGCTGTGAACTGGTAGTACTGAATAGTTAAGTATTTTATACTACGCCCTACAAAATGAAATACCCGAAATAGCCATCAAAGGTATTACAAGTAGTAGATGGTGGAAACACGGAATTTATGGACTGAGACATCTCGACCCTCGCGTCGCATGGGGGTGTGGGTTGGGGTTGGGGTTGGGGTTGGGGTGTGGGTTGGGGTTTCGGTTTGGGTTTGGGTTTGGGTTGGGGTGGGGCCTGTCATATCCTTGTGACGTAGTGGAGAATGAGACATATTTTGTAACATGTTCCTCAGTATTTTCTTTAGTGTTATATTCAAGCACTAAATATGTATTTCCTGAAGATAAAATCAGTCTCTATGAAGCGTTTCATTGGAAGGAATAAAATACTTAAAACATTCTTAGCGAAAATACTTCCTTTTGAACAGACCGAAGCACGAAGAAATTATTTAAATGTTAGACGTGTTAAAGACTATAAAAATCCATTTTTCATTTACTTCAGTCGTTTTGACGGGGGTAAAATTGATACAATTTCGGCAGCATCTCTTTTCCAGAATATTGACCTTCACCGCAACTCGGGGGGAATGTGTCTTACTCCTTACAGTGTTTGCTAAATTGGACCAGCATCTTTGACTAAATGATTCAGATATTAGACAAGACAAATACGCAGGGTCGGGAAGGATGGGGCATGAGGGTCACGTGGTGAATCCCTACCCTTGCTGGGGTGGCAAGGTTCTCTCTAGGTCTGCAGAAACGCATTTGTTCTGGGGTAATGGGGGGAAATCCACCAACTATCGGAGATCTCGGTTTACCTCCCTACATTGTTACGACATGGACTCGCTTGTTTTTTGTAACCTTCCTTCTCAAGTTAAACGAACAAGAGTGATTTCTCTGGCGGATGATACGCTTGCTTCACGTGGAATGCTTAAAACAGAAAACTCCTTCGGCAAGACGTAACAGAAACCTACCTTTTTCAACAAATTAGATTGGTGGAAAACTCGCTTGTGACATGTAATAAACAAGTGTATAAGTGCTATCGTCTTGGATGGGATGATGCCGGCTGAACTTCCTATAGGATGTTATAACCGATAAATACTGTCATGCTTCCACTCACAAGAACAGCTGATAATTCATGTTTTCCCCAAACAAACCACATCAAACGTGTGTGCTTTCTCTCATATTAGATTTTATAATTAATTGTACGCGCCTTCGCTAATAATTTGTTACTCTTTATCATTTTATACACAATACATATCGAAATTAATACTACATACATACAACATGTATTATTTTTCTTTATCATGGCTACTTGGTGAATAAATACGAATGTTTGTAGTAAATATATCTACTGGTATATAAATTTTGTCGTTGCGATCACTTGATCCATTCATGTTTTACAAAATGAAATAAGCCGCATTTATTTGAATATTTGAATTTCTATTAAGAAGTATTTTTATCCAATATGGAAGTAAATTTACACTGATCGTGATATTAAATATTTTTCAGAAACTTGCGTCATTTTATGAAATCCGCTTCACTGAAGTGAATTAATTAATCAGACGAACCTAATGCAGCCCATTATCAAATATGGTAATCGCCAAGTAGCGCTGTAATTACACGCATGGCTATTACGTAATTGTAGAACTAAATGAAAGATAATCCCGGGTTTGGGGGCTGGAAACAGGGTGATTTAACAGAACTCCAATTACTTTGTCTATCATCTGTTTATTTTCATCCGTCATCTTCTGTGAAGAGTTTTGTCCGCCCCATCTGGGCGTCTTGTCAACTCAATCCAGTGTCCATCCAGAGCGTTCAATACTGTGACAATGCAGACGTTTCTCATTTGGCTTAACATCAACAAATCGCAGTCTATTGAAAGACTTAATTTTCCAAAATCAATTACTGCACATGGCTAGTTTCTGAATAAACTTTGCTATCTGTAAAATGTGATTGCTTTCTGTGAATGTGTGATTTAACAGCTGGGAAACCGGCGGAAGAATCGCATAATTTTCAAAGTGAACAAATCCGTGAAAGTCGATAGAATCTTCCGAATGACCGCATCAACCACAAGGCGATTATCCCGCCGCGAGGAAACGTAGGTCGCCATTTCAGCGATTGCTAAACTAGCCAGCTGTCACGGGTGATTATTTAATGCCCCGTGTTTAACAAATTAGTCCATCAGACAGCACTGTTTGTTTTAGCTTGAGACACAGTCGCTACGTTCACCTCCGTGCTGTTTTATCGTCCGTTCACTCGGCAAGCAACGACCCCTTGTCACATTCGCGCCAGATAGGAGTAATGATGGCGAATTGCTAAGGTTGGAGCCATGAACTTAACACCTCCGCTGATAATCTAGCATAGCAAACTAGCATGTGCATACCCTAGCAGTGTTGAGGGGAAATACAAGATGGCCATTAATAAAATAACGCCACTGTATGACAGGGGCATCTACTCTCGCCTCTCGGAGTTACAACGTTTATGCGGGATTATAATGATCCCACACTCAAATTACGCCCGATATCCGGTTAATCTGGTATAAACCTCGTGCGTTCTCGAGTGGATGGGACATGATATGTTCTAATGTCGATAAAATTCGTACAAATTGTTCACAGTGTTTAAACTGTGGAAGTAGAGGTGTTAGTTACAAACTTTTTTGGCCCCGTTGTGTGTAACCTCGGGCTACGTTTCATGACAGCTAAATATGTTTATTTGCGCCATTGTTTCTGACCACCTTTGTAACTGTAAGCAAGATTCCCCCGACATCCAAGAAGATGTTTGAACTTTCATCATTGTTCGCTCTAGACTTCTGCACCTTTCTTTCAACAAAAACATTCATCTAATTTTTACTTAAATATATAGGATGTGCATCAAAGTATCTGAATATTCGACATACACTAATTTGTATTTGACAGAAAAAGCTTTGTGAAATTTATTTAATTCTGTGTTTTTTAGCATAACTGTCAATTTAATTTAATGTCAAATCTGAAGCAAGAATAGGGTAAGGGAAAGACGTAAAAAATAAGAATGCATCATTTAGCATTTAAAATTTGTTGAAACAAATTAAATGTAATCTTTTATAAAAATAATTACATGATGAACGACTTTTACGTCGTTTTCTTGAGCTGAAGTCAAATTAATTTCACATGTGTTTCAGAGATTAAAATCCCATCACTGTGACATCGCATTCTTAAACTGTCTTTAATTTACATATCATCGAGCCCAAAGTCACAACTTCCTAACCCCCTGGGTACAAAATCCCGACCCCTTCCTGCACTGATCCCCACCCCAGCTGTGCCACTCCCCCGACCCCCGGGCACAACGCATCGGGGTCAATAAATGACATTCACGTCACCACATGATATTCTGTCCCTTGAGAGCTTATCACGCACGTGTGATTCTACCTCGACACAGTAGTAAGATCTGCACATGGGGTCAGGGCTGGGGGTGCGGGAAGTAGCTGCGGGTGGGGGTAATGTGAGAAAGATGGGTGCCATAATCCGTGTAATTAGTTTGGCGTATTGAAATATTGGCATCAGTATCTCTGGAGGAATGCCTTTACTCGGTTTATGCCCGCGCTATGGTTTATTGCAGTAATAAAATTATTTTCTTATTAAGATTTCCAATTAATCACCAAATAATATCTTCCCCATTCACTTCCACTAATTTGTTTACAGTTCGACAGTTCCACATCACCCGACAGAACTAACAAATTAAACAAGTATTATTGCTTAGATTTTGTAATGATAAATATATACTTGATACTGTGCGAATCAAATGCTGAGATTATAGAAAGCCTGGGTGCGGTGGGCAAGGCTACACGGCGTGTGGGTACGGGGGAAAGGTGGGGGAAGTGGATGAGGGTGGGGTCACGTTTCCTTAACGCAATACAAGTCATCCCCTGGCCTCCAAGGGCCTTTGCTGTTTCCGGTACAAAAAATATGAAATGTTTGCTTGTTAAAATTTACACTTTGTGTGTGCATGTGGTTCCCAGAGCAGATGTGTCGGTTATTGGTGAAGCAGATGCGGGCATGGCAGCCTGCCGCTCGCTGTACACAACACGTGCATCGCGCCCATCAAATTCGCCATTGTTTGTGGAACCTTGTGTTTTAGTGAATTTTCAAGACAGTAAATACCTATGCTACGGAATATGTAAACCTTATAACTAGGTTTATAGTTCAAATGTTCTAGTTTCAGACGGTTTATGACGTGAATCTCTTTCTAAGCTGTTGTGGAGGAGATTTCGACAATACCAACCTGGTATTTCCATTTCGAGTTATTTCTGCAAATGGTGAAAGAATGCGATATAGTGCTAACCCAACCCCAAAACTGAATAAACGACTTTCGTGCTGCAAAACCCCCATTAACACTCCTATAACGATGTCAATACCACGAGGTGCCGTTCGCCATCCTGTCAAAGAGCCAGTCGACATAGATTATTTTCACAACGCCACTTCCAGCTCCCAATGTATACGTATTCCTACAACTCAATAACATCCAAATCTAGATAAGAACTGGTTAATTTCGAAAACGTAGACGCAGTTTATGTAATTCATGTTTGTGCTTTCCTGTTTTTCTACACTGTACGTATGTACACGTTGTACGGGTGAAAATGTTGAAGACACAACTCGCTCCCGTGAAACAGGCCCCGTGAAAGATTTATCTGTGAGAAACGCGAGAAGCCGAAAACAGGTGTTATCGGAAAGTTGTGCACAGAGACATCTGAGAACCTTTCTACATTTTCGCATTACAAATTTTATACACTTTTCTCATACATTATGGCTGTAATATAAAAACTCCCGTCAAAATATGACTGATAGGTGCCTATGAAGGACCATCGGAAGAATGCAGGATGCTTCATATCACAAAATACGAAAATATTTCATTTCTGAAGATTTTTTGAGAGGTTTATCGTAAACCGCCTTCCCTGAAGTACGGCCTATTGACATGGAAGTACTAACCACAGAGTCGATTTATATATTTATATTATCACTTGATAAGATGACTGAACTTTTAACTTTAGTTGTGGTTTATAGTCGTATTTCCTTCTTTTGTGGCTGAAGATAAGTCTATGATTAGAAATATTTTATTTGTATTTTTTACTCATTAGTTTAATATATGCTTGTATTTTATAAATATATTTAGTTATTTTGATGTCTATATGTAAACAACTAGTAAGGTTATATTAAAGTGATTCCTTCGTAGAAATATGGACATTACGTTACATGTGCTCCGTATTTCACACTTCCACTCAGCTATGTTTAGACTCTAGTAAATGGTTGTTGCGCCTGTAATAAATATCAACAAGTTAGAATGAAACAAAAATATTAATATTGAACTTACCAACACACTCATTAGTTTCTCCGGGGGTGGCCCGTGCCCATGGGCGGTCATAATGGAATGGCTTACACTTCTCACAGTCGTACCCTGCGGTGTTGTGCCTGCAGTCACAGGCCAATCTCCCATCGCGATTTGGAATGCATTGAGAAGCGTGACCGTTACATTTACAACGGCCACCGACGGCGAAGTCGCTCAGAGCGTAGTAGTAACTCTCCCCTGGCCCCCTCGTCATCCTTCGTTTCATCACCGTAGGTATTTAATTTATTAAACACAATCATAATATCCGTGGCGGTTACCCAGTCCTGAAGAACGGGGCTGTTGTCGAAATCCAGAGCCGATGGACGTCCCTCCAGAGTGCTGAACCCCACCCCGGGCCCCACCCAGGGGGTCGATGTTGCTGTAGGCCTCAGTGCACAAAGCTTTCTGCTCGTTGGCTTTAGTGACGACAGCGACGGCATCTTTGCTGTACATCTTCTTACAGTCGCTGGAGTAGTACTGAAAAGGTATCCATGTTTTACCATAGTCCATACTCTTAAAGATTGCCATAGAATCCGGCCGAGCAGAGCAGAACTGTAAACTGATGTATGTGAGCTCGTATTTTTTGTGCAAGGACAAGTTTAACGTGACATTCTGGGGGTACTGGACAAACGGCTCTGACATCCAGCAGGTGAGGTTGTTCGGGTTATTGAGGTCCGTCAGATATGACGGCGGGTGTCTGCGCTTGAGGTGATTCGCGTCACAGATAAAACAGTTCCTGATAACCTTCGCATCGTTGTCCGTTGTGGACTTGCAATACCTGCTCGGCGGAGAACCACAGGTGCTCGATGCCACCACTTCTTTACTAAAAGCAGCATTCTCAAAGTCTGGAACGCACCTCTTGGGTTTCTCATTTTCATCATAGCAAGGATCAGGTGGAGTTTGTTGACCCGCAAACATTTTGATGTAACCAGCGGAACACACGTACCCCAGGCAGAATACCAACACTAAATGTACCCGGAGTAGCCAAGTGCTACGACAAGTCCTAATATACACACGCATGGTGTTTGGTACACCAGGGTTGTATTTCACAAATAAAATCCCACTCTCGCTCCACGATCGGGAGAGTTAGTAGTGTAGAGCATTCACCGTACCCCTCTTTGGCCCGGTTAGGAATCCCAGAGCTGCTATAATCCTCGTCTGAGATGTTCACTCTTCCTGCGGTGCCTCTGTTACGGCAATGCCCCGGTTCACATTGGGCGGGAGTTACTTGTATCAATCCCAACACGTTCTGTGATATTCTCTCCCACAGCTCTACATTGAGGGGGCACGTGTCAACCCTTCCTACACCGACGGGGGAGAGTGAAATAATGCTACCGACACAGACGCCGGAGGATCTGACACCACGCGCGTGAGACTGCTAAACTGTGATCCCCACGCGCTCTGTGCGATGTTGTGGCCTCAAATGCTGCGACACTGTTGCTGCTAATTATGTACTTCTCGATCGTAATTCTCAGAGGCTGGACCTTCACGCCCGTGGTCTAACGTGGTGATAGATACTCGTATAGGTGTTCGCTGCTTCGGCGCGTAGTAGCCAAATGCCTGGACCGATACTCTATTAATTTGTGGCTGTATGTACGAGGAAGAGAGCAGTGATTGGCACGACTCACTGACTATACCTTGGTCCTGGGTAGCTGCACGCCGACACAAGGGGGTTGGCTCTACAGCTAGGCCACACATTGGCTCCGCCCCTTACTATTCAAGCTGTGTGTCATTCAAGTCTAATTACCAGTGTCCATTCACCGCTGGGCCCTCATTCTTTTACCAGCCATTGACTAACATGTCGAAAGAAATATGATGGGTCCACACGGTGTGTTTTAATCCGAATTGAGATTTGATAGCGGTTGTCGATCGGGGTATCTGGTATGCTGACTCAGGTTACAATGTAACCGACAGCTCAAGGTTGATAGCTACATGATTGACACATCCCCCCACCCCACCGACGCCCATCCCCCAGACCCCAGTCCCCCGTCTTGAGCTTCCTTGACCCAACACAGCCCGACCCCCTCCCCATTGCACACGTTATACCACACCTACAACGAAATACTACAAGTTTAAAGTGATTACAGATCTATATCGAGGTGTGTTTACACTTTCAGGTAGCTTGCAACTGGGTGAAAAATTAGTCGGTTACCTGTGAAATTTAACGCGCAGATCTCTACAGTAGCTGGGATATCTTTGACCGTAACTAAAACAAACAGAGGTTGAATAAACTTAAACTGTTTCCATTCGTGCTCCTGGTATTTATAGAGAGATCTCGCCGAGCGGAACGGAGCTTCTACAAAATACGCTAACCTCTAAAACAGGATAAGTCTCCGTGTGATACATATACATTTTCCTCTCCGGGGATATAAAATTTCAATGTTATCGCAATTTCCACTCTTCCTGTCGCATATCGCTGAAATACATTTCTCCCCCGACTGACTAGAAGCAAAGCCGTTGCCCCATACAAATCCAATCACCCAGAACGCCGGTCTCTACCCGATAGCTGCATCTACATACATATTGTTAGATGTTTAACTAATAGCCGTTTATTCACTATTATTTCACCTCTACCAGGTGCAAGAAGCTATCCCATTTCTATAGGTGTTTATACTAGTGCTGGGGCCGTGTTTCCAACACTCTTACACACTGAAAGTGACAGACCCGCCGGTGTATTTGTCCAGCTACCACCTGCAGAGAGCGACTCCACACCTTGCGTCCGTATCGCGCCTCCAGGGTCCCTACAAGCGTGAAAATATGTTTACACTTATCTTACAATCCGATAAGAGTGTGAGATAAGAAATAGACGACAAAGCGTAGGAATACTTGAAGTGTTGGTCGGGTATTGAGTATCGGCAATACAGACTTGTAGATTGCCACCTGGTTTAGCAAAGCCTTTAAATCACTCCAAGCTTTGAGTTGGGGGAACGGGCATGGCTATCACTGCTGAGCGATACTGTAGAAGTGAATTGACTTCTGTGGGGACTGAAATAAGGGGTGGATTTTAGCCTAAAGAGTTTGTATTGTAAATCTGTAGCAGATCGGACGTGTGGATCTAGCTTTACTGAAATGAAACTTGGTTCGGACCCCCGTGTTTGGTTTTACAGGCGGATATAGTTTGTATCGGTGTTTTTATATGTGCTTTGTGAACTACCCGGGCAGTGTTTGAACCTGTCAACATTCATAATTTATGGTTTGCTTTGGTTATGCCAATATATAATGTAGAATTTACAAAATTGCTGAAAAAAGGTATTTAAACGCATTTAAATGTGTTTTCTGGCATATGTTAAATGGAACATTATAAATGCAATTTACCTGTGTGTAGTGTCGTGGTAGATTAGTTAGATATGAGCAACATCAGTATCAAAGCTGCCTTTTTGTGATAAACAATATCACTGGGAGTGTACAATAATAATGAATAAAGCCGACAATAATGCATCCTCGATAATTTCCAGGTTCTACGTTCCGATAAATATCTTCTAGTGGAGATTTATCGGAACGTATACTCTGGAGATTATCGAGGATGATAATAATGCTAATAATGTCGCTATGGTTATATATGTTATAATGTCGATACGGTTATATATGTTATAATGTTGACATGGTTATATATATTATAATGTCGACATGGGTATATATGTTATAATGTCGACATGGTTATATATGTTATAATGTTGACATGGTTATATATGTTATAATGTTGACATGGTTATATATGTTATACTGTCGACATGGGTATATATGTTATAATGTCGATATGGTTATATGTTATAATGTCGATATATGTTATAATGTCGACATTGGTATACATGTTATAATGTCGACATGGTTATATATGTTATTTGGCGATATGGTTATATATGTTATAATGTCAAATGGTTATATATGTTATAATGTCGATGTGGTTATATATGTTATAATGTCAAATGGTTATATATGTTATATTGTCGATATGGTTATATGTTATAATGTCGATGTGGTTATATATGTTATAATGTCGATATGGTTATATATGTTATAATGTCGATGTGGTTATATATGTTATAATGTCGATATGGTTATATATGTTATATTGTCGATATGGTTATATATGTTATAATGTCGATGTGGTTATATATGTTATAATGTCGATATGGTTATATATGTTATAATGTTCATTTCTATAACATCACTGCTGTGCATCCTCATTCAGAAGAGGCGCTGTACACATGAAATCTTGTGGTATAAAATATTTATGATTTATGAGTAATTGAACTCTTCGTGGCCTGACGAAACGCTTAATAGATCAATCTTATACCAAGTATAAACCATTCGGCGGATATGTGTGAACGAATGTTCCAATAGTTAAGTGCTTAACGTTATATATAGAGAGATGAAATGGATATGGTTGCTGTTCGTTTGCCGAGACATTACTTTTATCAAATTAAGACTACAATCTTAACAAGGTTTGCAAATTAAGATTGATATGATACACGCGCCTGAAGCGAGCTGCTTCATTACTTCTCATAGAGGAATTAATTAGGTGACATAAAAGATAAATTAATCACGCACATTAGATATATGACTTTCAGATTATTCGTAAACTCAAGTCTGGACGTATAAAAAGATTTCAGTGATATGCGTGTGGTGTTTTAAGTTGTTTGGAGATAATTTTACAGAATGTTTTTCCCATCTGTTAAGTGTTTAGGGTGAAAAGAACATACGATTCCATCAAATATTATCAATTAAACAAAAAACAAGGGACTGGCTGTTTTAGATAAGCTGTAGCCAACATCTGTAGTGTTAACTCAAGCCTCGTCGCCAACAAGTGGGGTTGAACCCTAAGACATCATATTCGCAAAATTTCAAAGATTTATGTATAATAAAAACTGTCGGTGTAAATGATACCCCGAGAAATCCTTGGGAGATAAACGTATCTAATAAAAAATATATTTTAATGAAATATGGTCAAAAGATACATTTTCGTTAAATGACTCCACCCAAAACAGAGTGTCTAATCAGTACGACGGAGAAATGCAGGTAGGATCGTGTGTGCGCTGACGTTTCCTGGACAAGTGGAAGTCCCTGGTGGTTTTACAGCTTTTGTTTATTTGTTGTTTTACGCCGCACTCAGTAATATTTCAACTATATGACCACAGTCTGTAAACTGAATCTGGACCAGACAATCCAGTGACAAAAATCATGACCATCGATGTTTTAAAGCGCCACGTTTCGTAGTGCAGTTGTTCTAGCCACAGGTTCGTGAGTACGAAGTCTGATTGTAATCCAAGATTTGTAACCAGCATATCCGTCCTTGATGGCATTAAAGTAACGTAATGAAGATGGTCAAACCCAAAGACATTCACTCACTGTTCACATATACATTAAACCTTGAAGACCTTCCAGTTTAAAGTAAAGCTATGATCATGAGAAGAGAACTTTTAGTACACTTTCTAAAGTGTTCAGATATAATGGTGAACTGACGTTTACAATTAACATGCAAGTGCATTATGCGGTATGTAATGTTTCTGACGTGAAAAACAAGCTTTGAAGTTAATTCGTCTCATCATTCCAATTCGAACCATGCAACGATAATATCTGTGATTAAAACTAAGCACACATTTCGAGATTTACATCAAACCAAGACCACAGAAAGAATTTCTACATATTAATAGGCAGTCTGGTTGTTAGCTTTTACGCATCCTGAAAGTCAAAAATATGAACAAGTGTCCATGTTTCTCAGGTAACATCCATGAAAGGAACTGTGGGTTGGGTTGTCCGGAGCTTGGAATTACACCTGTTTATGAGGAGTAATTAAAGATCTCGTTATGTGTTTCAGATCCAATTCTGAAGCTCCTCTGCTCATGGATGTTTGCAAATCATGCATCCTATTACACGAAAGAAAGAAGCAATTCTCACATTTGGGCAATCTTTATTTACCAGCATCTGCCCCTCTTACACGGTATGCATTCTGTTCTTCAAACATGTGGGAATTATTAGCAAAACATGTACTGAAAACACGTTCGTCTACATCCGGGTGATCTCCATTTTCTAGCTGGCTTGCACACACACCAGAGTGGAGTTGTTACACAAAAACATCTATGAATGATGCAATCGTGCATTGTGGATGTTATTTACAGCCAGCCTATATGACACTGCCATGTAGATGTATTGCTGATATAACGGCCGATAATAGATGTTCTGTAGGTTTTTGCGTTTCTTTGTGTTTACTTCCCTATTGAGATTGGCATCGGACATTCATTAGGATGGAGATGTGAGACACCAGGCAGCGTGTTATGAATCATTATATATGGAACTTGGATGTGGTATTTTCTAACTTGTTTTTATGCTGCTTAATTGCCTTACCACATTGCAGACACTGCACTCACCAAGATGAGTGGGTATGAAGATAAATTTAAGACATTGAACATTGCTTTGGCAGCAACAGCAGGCCTAGCTTTGTAGTAGCCAGATTTATATGATTTATATATGTTCTCATGCAGTAGATACTGCTGTTTCGCCTCAGACACATGGGACCGCCTCCGTGGTGTAGTGGTTAGAGCGTCCGCCCGGAGAGAGGAAGGTCGCGGGTTCGATCCCCGACCGCGTCATACCAAAAGACGTTAAAATATGGTATTTGTTGGTCCCTGTCTGGCGCTCGGCATT